GATAAATGTAACTGCATGAGTCATATAATTGTAACTGGACGGTTCAGGTAACTGTAACTGGACGGATCGGGTAACTGTAACTGGATGGGTCGGATAATTGAAACTGACAAGTCGGGTAACTGTAACTGGACAGGTCGGATACCTGAAACTAACGAGTCGGGTAACTGTAACTGGACGGGTCGGGTAACTGTAACTGGACGAGTCAGATAACTGTAACTGACTAGTCGGGTAACTGTAACTGAACGGGTCATGTAACTGCAAATGATGAGTTCGGTAACTGGAACTAGTCTGATAATTATAATTGGCGGCGAGTAACTGTAACTAATCAGATCGGGTAACTGTAACTAGCAAGTCGGAAAATTATAAATGGTTGAATCGGGTAAGGGTAACTACATATAAAAATCATATAATTTTTTTAATGTTTTTTTAATCATATAATTTTTTTAATGTTGGAAATGGGTGTAGCATTTTGATGAAGCCGGAAGTGGCGGTTTGATTTACATGTAAGAAACATTCATTAGTTGTTGGGGCATCTTTGATATTTTCATTCAAATGTTTTTAAATGATTGGCACGGCGGGTCTCTTTTTTGACTTTTACTAAAAGAGGTCCTAGATTTGTCAAACTACTTTTAATTAGTAATATCTATGACCTAACCCCAAAATCAAATAAGAATAATGTTTAATGTAAGAATGTGAGAACCACGTTTATTCCAATATGATGCACAATAAGGTTCATTCGTTGCCTCCTTTCGTGTTGAGCATAATATATTTATCAAAATGTCATTGCAATTATTTAATACTGAATTGGTATCGGTAAAGTTAAAAAGTGCACCAAATGATCTTTTTTTGTGCATCTCATCTAGGCCTCTAGGGTGTGCTTCGGGCTCGATTTTTTGGGCTTGGCCCAGCCAGACCCTAGTGGCTAGTGCCCAACTGCACTATTTTAAAAATTAATTAAATGGGTGGTTCCGACCCGCGAACCCAGGCTCGGGTCGATGCGGTACTGTTTGTGCTCGGACCGGTCTCAAAGCATTCCCAGGGCGGTATCGGGCCTGAATTCCTTAATCCCGAAGCTTGCCCGGTCCCGGGTTGGGCCCGACCCTACTCGTCCTAGTCCATCCCTTATGACATCAGATTAAATGTGTCTATTATCACGTTCTTACGTTAAGTATTCTTCTCATCGGAATCACACAATGTGTGTATGTGTGCGTTATCACGGTCGTCTCCATTGATAATATTTCAATAAAAAAAAGTCAGTTGACTAAATTTTTGGATTACATTGTGTTTTTTATACTGGGAATTCACATCTATGATAAATTCCAAACAAAAAATGTCTTACTTTTGACTAATGAAAAATTAATGATATTATTTTTGTCATTATTACTTGAAAATATGGACACTAGCGTAGACGTCAACACTTGATTTGATGGATTTATCTGTGAAATTAACCTCCTGGAGGGCTGGAAACATTGAAATTCCCGTAGTTGGCGACTAGAAATCTGAATATTAGTTGCAAACTTGAAATTGAAACTCCCGCGTCCATATTTGTCCATGATCTCTCAGGCTCTCAGTAGCACTAGGGATGGGTTCGGTTCAAACGGTTTGATTTTCACCTAAAACCAAATGCCGAAATCAAAGAAAAAAGTTTGGTTCGGTTTGGTTTCATGTTCAAAAATTTGGAACCATGGTTTGTTCGGTTCGATTTATTTCGGTTCGGTTTCGATTTTTTCGGTTTTTACCAAAACATTTTTGTTGATTAGAAAATTAGTAATTGGAAATTAAAACAAATACAAAAAAAGTAAACTAGATCAAACTATTATTAATAGTAATACAACACACAAACATACATAATTAAAAAAGAGAACAAACAAATGCACTTCAAAGCAATGAATTAGAGAGTACGTGTATACCAATTTAAATATCTTCTAAATTAATTAAACACATGAGTTTATTTGTGAATTATATACATTGTATTCACAAATTACAATTTTATTAGTAAATAACTTATTTTACTTTCTTTTGAGACAAATATATTTATTCTCTAAAGTTTCACGTTTTCTGTTATGTTATTTAAAGTATTGTTTATATTAATACATATTTTTTAAATATAAAAAAATGTGTGATAATAAACAAACATAACATATAATATATCAATAAAATATCATTGTCATGCAACAACAAACAAAAGGTAAATTACGATTTAAAATATCAACATATTCGTATAAAAACAATATAATTAAGTGTATGTACAGTACTACAGTGTTTCACTTAATAAAAATCATATATATTAAATGTCAATATCTTGCAAATCATAATAATTCTAGTATTGAACATTAATTTTCTAGAATTAAGAATTAATAACTAAACAAAACATTATATTTAATGATTAATAAATAAAATGACAACTTTCAAAAAGTTCGGTTCGATTTTGAGATTTGAAAACCAAAACCAAAATCAAACAACTATGGTTCAGTTCAATATTTAGTCCAGATTCTGTTTTCTTGCAGTTCAATTGTTTCGGTTGCGATTCGGGTTTTTTCGATTCGGTTTTCGGTTTCTTCGACCCACCCCTACTCAAGAGGTTTGCTTAGAGAACTTGAGTCAAAATTTGCATAAGATATCAAAAAAGGTCGAGTAGATGATTTAAACATTATCAGTAACTATATGGACATTGACAATTTTTGGAAAATTCATTTATTCCCCTAAAAGATACTCCCTCTGTCCCATTAAATTTGTCTCATATCATATTTGGTAATATTTGAATAATTACAATTCATTTTTATTTTATTCACTTTACCAATTTAATACCAACAATACAATTCTATTTTTCCTTAAAAGTTATGTCACACATCTTTGTCCCAAACATAGTGGGACGAGGTAGTAGTGTGGTACATACCAACCTCCATCCCAAAAAACTGTCATTTTAAAAACTTTAACCAACTACTATCCTCCGTATCATAGTGGTTGCAATATTAAAATTTAGGAAAAATTCACAAGAATAATCTCAACTATTAACACTCTTCTCATATTAATCCAAAATATGCGTAATTCTAGTATAATCTAACTTATAAGGGTAGCCTTCTCATAATGCCCCGATGACGTGTTTATACCTATCTAGCCAGTCATCTGGACACGTGTTATTTTTTCATTGGTTTTTGTTTGACTTTCATTTTCCTTTTATTTTTATTATCATTTTTATTCCTTTATTAAGTTATTTCACAGGCTTTATATCTCCTTCTTCGATTATTGGCTGTCGTGGGTTGCCCGCTAGAAAAATAGGAAGACCCGAAAATGACCGGCGGCCGGCAATAAGAAGAAACAATGAAGGGGGTTCCATCCTCATCTATCTCTCTTCAAGATCCGGCTGAGTCATCTCCTTTTTTATTTTCTTTTCTCCCTTCCTTGGGCAGTTAGGCATCTAAGCTGCTGGGGAAATCAAGATAATGAAGTAGCTAGCAACGACAATACAGAGAAGGAACGATAGATGGAATCCATCCCCATCTATCCAAGCCGACTTGAAGTTCCGTCCCAACCTGCCGTTGTCGTTTGACTCATCGCCAACGTCGTCAGTCAAAGATTGGAGAAGGCAGCCAGATGTGTGATAGAGTTGGGCATTAACCAGATCTTGACAAGTCTTAAATTGGTTTTTAAATTCGTATTCCCCCTAGCCATCTTCTCATTACCTTGGTTCCATGTCCGCGGCTTAGACCTGCTACTGGAGCTTGGAAGAGAAAGCCTCAGACTTAAGTGTTGACCGGTTGGGTTGTTCATCTTTTTCTTTTTCTTTTATTTTTTATTATTGGTTTTTGTTTTCTCACGTTTTGCCTTGACCGATTGAGCAAGTTGATGGTCACCCGGGATCAATTATAGAAGACTATCAATAAATTTCGGATTATTCTAGAATTATATATAATTGGGATTAATATTAGAAGACGGCGGATAGTTGGGATTATTCATGTGAATTTTTCTTAAAATTTATACACTATTTATGTACTCTACTTTGACTAAGGGAGTGTTTGCAATAGCTTAAAAAAAAGCACTTCTCAACTTTTGACTTAAAAAAGCACTTATTTACCAAACACTTCCAATTTTTACTTTTTCTTGGCTTGCGTGTGAAAAGTACTTTTCCCTTTTATATTACACAAAAAACACTTATTTTACCAAACACTATCAACTTTTACTTTTCAAAATCACTTTTTTCTCAAGCACTATCAACTTTTACTACTAATCACTTTTGCATTACATCTCCAAAAGTGCTTTTTTTAAGCAGAAGCAGTTGCAAACACTCCCTAAATTTTACTCCCTCCGGTTTTTAATAAACTTCACACTTTCCTTTTTGGACGGTCTAAAATAAACTTCCCACTTCCTTATTTCCTTTTTTGGCAAAGAAATCTACATCAAAACAGTGTCAAACAGTGTCTCAACAGTGCCAAACAGTGTCTCTACAGTGCCAAACAGTGTCAAACAGTGCCTGAATAGTGTACTCTACAGTAAAGTCAAATTTCTTTCCTTATTTTGTGTGAAGTCAAAGTGTGAAGATTAAATAAAACCGGAGGGAGTATTTATTAATGTAGGTGAATAATTTTTTTTGAAAAATATTGTTGGATTCATCTCATTATGAAGTTTCATAATTTTTAAAAGTTTTTACAAATAGAGAATTAAATATAATGACAATCAAAGTTGTGCATTGTCAAGCATGAAAAATGGAATGTTGTAACTAGAAAAGAACAGAGGAAATATATCTTTTTATTGCAAATTATTTATAGTATGAAAATGCTCTTTGTTAAAAGAACTTTCAAAGTATAAAATCTATAAATTTGATAATGTTATACTAGTCAAAATCAAGATTTGCAAAAAAAAAAATTGGGACATAGTCAAGGAGGTAGTAAGGCTTATTATTGAACCAATGCACAGTTCCACGGGCGGGGGCCAATTATATTAAAATTACGTAATAACGGATACATGTTGCTTTTAAAACAAACTGAATCCATATTAAGATCGGTTGATTTTCGTAAGATGTCTGAAAAAAATCAATTATATATATCGAGAAAATGTAAAACTCACATGTCAAATGGGCATGTTGCAAGTACATGGATAACTTGAATATGTTTGCATATTACATTACTCAATATGATGGTCAAATGAAAAGGCGTCCACCTGGACTCAGAACAACTCAATACAAAAAGGCACAGCAACCATAAAATCAACCGCTCCAATTGAAGCACCATAACATTGACTTTTCACTTATCAGCTGGCATATCTATATGGCGATCCTTGTTATGCCTCAAAAACCACGACATGGAAGGATCATTATTTACAGCATAAGTGTATAACAACCTCCACCTCTGCAGGAGGCAGTGAGGGAGAAATGGAACAAAAGCATAATAACTACTCTCCAAGAACTGACACCATATATCCGCAACAACCACTCCCGCAAATGCAAAAAAGAAATGTATGGGGGTTGATGGTCGAAGACACCTGGACCAGTGGACCAAAACCAATAAGAAAGTGAATTTGGGAGGTAGAGAAGCATCAAGTACTTTTACTGCAAAAAGAATTGTCTTTAAGCAAAATGTATGCAATTTGTTTGCCTATTTACCCTAAAGAACTTGGGGAAAACATGACAAGGTAAGTAAGTTGGATATTTTAAAAAGTTGGCAGTCCACAAGACGAAAGTACACATGATTGTGAGATACAACTAAAAATGAAAGAGAGGCTAATAAAACAAATTGGGACATATATCACTTCATAATGCTCATTTAAGATAGCAGTCAAAAAGTGCTTTTAAAAAAAAAAAAGCACTTCGACTGCTTTTTTAGGCTTAAATGGGAAAGGACTTCACTACTTACACAAAAGGTGTATGATGTGGAAAGCACTAGACGACTCACCTTCGCCATCCTTCTTCACCCTCCAATGGGATCATGAGAAAGAAAATGAATCTTTTAAACCAGAAATCCCATCACAACCATCTATGGCATCTTCAGTGCTTGCTTTACTTGGGCCAGGAGTGACGGATGCATTTTACCAATGGCAGCATTGAAAGATTCCCCGTGAAGAGCTGAGCATGTCTGAAGATTCTCTCTCACTGAGTTCTCTAGTGAAATCTGATTGATAGGATCTGAGAACTTAATCTACAACAACAACGCATTTTAGCTATTGATTATAAATTATGACCCAATCTCGTTCACCTTTAACCAAAATTAAAGGAACCCTCCTTTTACCTGTCTCCTCCTCAACTCTTTACTTGGAAAATTAGGCCTGCTACAGCTGTTGTTATCACTGCTGCCATTCCACAACATGTTTTTTAGAGCTTTAAACAGGGTTTTGTTTATACACATGTGACACACTAAGTAGAAGAAAAGCTCGTCAGACCATTATTACCTGGACTCTTCTTCATTTAGGTCCTCCTCGCCTCCCCCTAGTATTATACTAGTACATATACTGGAATTCTTCTGACACATTAGTTTTAAATGTACAAAAAAATTGCTAAAAAGTGTGCATTATATATCTTCAAGTCAAAAACAAAAGCATAGCAAATATTACCTTAGAATTGGTTCAAGTTTATCCAGAATTTGAGGCAGCCTTAAAGTCAAAACTACAGAAAGGGCTAAACTAACTGTTTTCTTCTGGTGAGATGTAACATTATCAATCTGTGACAAAATGTGACCAAAACATAGTCTTTTAGAGGCTAGGCTGTGTTCAATGTCAGAGCAGTATCACTGATAAACAGATTCATATTGTTTGGCAGCGATTACTTGGATTAAATGATACTCCCTCCATCCCAATATAAAAGGCACACTTTACTTTTCGGGCCGTCCCAATATAAAAGGCACATTTCCCTTTTTGGCAAACAAAACAGTGCAAAACAGTGCCAAACAGTGTCTAAACAGTGTCAAACAGTATTCACCCTAAAAATGTGTGGAAACGCAAATGTGCCTTTTATATTGGGACGGAGGGAGTATTAATGAATGAGCTGATTCTCTTTAAAAGTATAAGCATTTGGTAACATCCATTTCAGCCAAACAAATCAAAAACTACTCATTCGTTTATCATGCTGATAGGCAAAAATAGGCACTCTTGGCCTACCAAAAGGAAAACCTTTGTTTGTAATCCTCATATGTATATTTAACCATTATACTTTTAACTTGTGCATCAGCTGACCTTATCAAGCCATATGTCTACAAGGCAAAGCAGTATGTTTTCTTCAGTGGGGAAACCAGCTTTCTGAAGATTTACTGTCAGGAAAGGCTCAGCTGTTAACTGGGCAAGACAATTTGTATTCATGACCAAAATCCGTGCTAGCAAAGCTGCTGTAGATGCTTTTACCGCTGTCTTGGAAGGATCGTGATCATCTCCTCCCGTCAAGCATATGACAATTAATTTCTAGGCACACCGATTCATAATAAAAGCATAATGTCATGAAACTGTTCAGAATAGAAAATCCATGAAAGCAAAAAAGGGAATAAGAGAAAAGTGTCAAATTGGCCCTCGTACTATGTACGGCAAGTCAATTCAGCCCCCATACTTATAATTTCATCAATTACGTCCTCGGACTTTATGATTTTCGCCAAATCGACTTTTAGCAGGTGACCAACCAATCAGCAGGTTACCTGCTGATGTGGCGCACATGTGGCGCACAGTGGCCTGACACGGAGCTCGCGTGGCGGCCAAGTCAACTTTTTCCTTTTCTCTTTCTTTTTCTTCTTTTTCTTTTCTTCTTTCTCCTTTCCCATCCCCTTCCCTTCCTCTGCGCAAACCCATTTCTTTCCCCCATTTTCTTTCTTCGTTTCTTTTGCTTTTCTTTTTCTTCATTTCTGTGATTCTCTTTCTCTGTTCATGTTCATGCAGAAGAAATAGGGATGGGATCCAGTGCAGCACCAGAGTTCGATTCCAGAAGCAATGTTTGCCGGAGTTCGTTCCAGAGCAGACGGAAGTTGGATTCAACCCTAAAACAGAAGCGGCAGTTCGCTGACTCACTGGAGCTCATTCCGAAGCATCACCGGAGTTCGATTCAACTATTCAAGCGGAAAATAGAAGTGACGATTCGCCGGAGTCCAATCCAGAGCAACACCAGAGCTCGACGGTTCACGATTTCTTCTATTTATTTTTTAGACTAAAGTCGAGTTCTTTTGCTAGCAAGGAGTCTCCATATCAAGTTTGAGCAACTGGATATGAGTTTTGGGGGCTGGTTTGTAGCTGGCCGGAATTTCTTCTTTTGGGACTCTGCTGGCATTTTTTCCGGCAATTATGAGGCTCAGAGAAAAAAAAAATATGCAAATGAGGTCACCATGAAGAGGGCATCTCCTCATATTTTTAGTTTAATTTTTGGAGCACCTTCCATTTTGTGGCCACTGTTCATGCGCCGAATCTTTCACAGACCGGAGAAGAATGGTGGCCATGGAGGAGAAAGAAAGAAAAAAGAAAAAGGGAAGGAAAAAGAAAAGAAATATTGGCGTAGCCCGCCACATGTGCGCTATGTCAGGCCACGTGTGCGCCACATCAGCAAGTAACCTGCTGAATGGCTGGTTACCTGCTAAAAGTCGGTTTTGACAAAAATCATAAAGTACGAGGACTTAAGTGAGGAAATTATAAGTAGGGGGGTTGAATTGAGTTTCCGTACACAGTATGAGGGCCAATTTGACACTTTTCTCACGGGAATAAAAAAAGCATGGATGAAAAATGATAATGCTTACCTGTAGACTCATGCTGATCAGTTGCGGCACTTCCCCTGGAAAACACTATATATTGCAAAAGTGTTAGTTACTGTGCATCATAGAAGTATAAGGGTTTAGAAATAAACAATGGGAAAAGATATTATAGGTCTCTGAAAAATGCAATACCTGATAAAAGGGCCATGGGCCCTGTCTTCTGAAAAACAAAGCCTTTTAATTTTCTTATGATGGTCTGAAGTCTCAGCTCTCAAGTGATAAAGTTACTATTACTTCAGAAAAACTGTCAAATCGGCCCTCAAAGTATACCCAAAAATTCAAGTAAGCCCTCAAACAAAAGAAACACTCAATTAAACCCGTGAACTATATAAAAACAGTCAAATTTATAATTTAGCGGGTTGTTTACTATTTCTTTCTTCTTCCATTCAAGCGACCGGCCAGCTTCTTTTTTCATTGAGGCAAGCTAGGACCAGTCAACCATCCACATCCTTCCCGCTGCCGATTTTAGACGCAGTAAGAAGACATCACTGGCCGACTTCACGAGCTCACCATCTGGGTCTCCCATTTTTCCTCCGTTGCATCTCAAAACAGGGCCAAGATAGAATAACATATCATGTCGCCATCGCAGGCGGAGGAGGAGGGCACGGTGGTGGTGGTGACGCGGTCTCGAGATCTGCTGAGAGATTTCCAGTCATCGATGTTGGGGATATTTAGAGGGCTAAAGAAGAAGAAGCAGGAAGGGGAAGGGGAAGGTGGGGCGGGCTGAAGAAGACAAAGGAAGGGAAGGTTGGGGTGGGCTGAAGAAGAAGAAAGAAGAGGGGGGTTGAGGTAGGCTGAAGAAGAAGGAAGGGGGGCTGAGGAAGAAGAAGGGAGAGGAGGGTGGAGCAGGCTGAAGAAGGAGAAAGGGGAGGGTGGCGCATTGAAGAAGGGACAGTGGAGAAAGAAGGAAAAAGAATAAAAAAAGTAAGAAGCAAAAGTAGCAAAATTGACACGTGAACATCCATGTGTGTCAAATGACCCGTTAAAACTGGCAATCAACCCGCTAAATTTTACATTCGATCGTTTTTATATAGTTCAAGGGTTTAATTGGGTGTTTCTTTGGTTTAAGGGTTTAACTGACTTTTTTGGTATACTTCAAGGGCCAATTTGACAGTTTTCCCTATTTACTTTGTATAAGAGTAAGCTCTCAACATGTGCAAATTGTTTTCAAAGTATTCATTCCAAGAGGGTTAAATTGGAATATCATTTTTTTATGAATTTGAGAAAAATTATTATTGGGACCAAGGGGTGGAATATAATTATTACTCCCCCCGTCCCGTTGAAAGGTTCCCACTTTCCCTATTTGGGTGTCCCATTAAAGGTTCTCATTCCATTTTTGGAAATAATTTACTCTCTTAATTACGCCTTTACTCAAATTTCTCTTTCCTACTCATTACAAGTCAGGTCCAATAAATTCCCCTCCCCCAAGTTATCTCTCTTGAATTACTTTACTTTTACTGTATATGTTTACTTTTTCTAAATTTTCTATTTTCTCTCTTTTTTACCCAAATTACTTTATTTAATCACTTGCCTAAAAAATTGTGTCATTTACTCACGGATTCACGGAAACATTCCAACAGAATGGAGGGGGTACTATTTAAAACTTTGATTTTATATATATTTATAGCAATTCAAATGCTTTTTCCGAATTTTGAATACAAAATGTAACTACCAAATATCTTTTAGAAACTTGAGCTATGTAGATGATATTGACTTTTAAAACACAGGTAATTAACTACCTGAACTAGAATATCAATCACAGGAAGTACTGAAAGCAGCCCACGGTCATTGACATTTCCAACCACGAGATCAAGAAACTTAGTGATGCTGGAAGCATGCACACTCACAAACTCCCTTCCACCCAAAATAACATAGTCCTCAATAATATTAGCAGCAACCTAAAAGGCCAAGAAACATCAGTTATGCTGTAGCAATCAAGCACTTAAAGAAACAAGTTACTTTTCAAAACAAACCTTCAAGTGATCAAAACTTCTTTCCAGAATTTCTATAAGACAAGGAAAACATCCTAGTAGTTCAGATACCATTGATGGAGCATTGATGAGTGTGGCTTCCCATAACTGCATTATTAAAACTATTGATATCAGATGCACACTATTTGAGAATTTGATGCAACTCTACTAAAAGTGAACAAACCTGCATGCCATCTTCAAGTAGCTCATCTGGGCTATTTACATTAATTACACTACGTAAAATAGGAAGCAGTATGTTGTAACAGATGGGGGACTGATAGCCAAGAGCTTGAACGAAATTTTTTAGTGCAGTAAGAAGCTGAATCTGCAGAAGACTTTCACCAGAAGATTCCTCCCATGCCTAATTGAATGCACCATTAGTAAAAACAGCATAGTTAAATTTACAAATTACCTATGGTGTCATCAACCCTTCCATCCACGTGATAATAATGTAAAGTCGTAATTGTCAAAAGTTATACATTATTCACTCATGACCATGTTGGCAGTTCAGAGAACCAATGTTTAAATGAAACTTCAACTGAAAATGGATCCGGGAATGCTCATAAGTTCCACAGTATACAGATTTAAACATTATAGATAAAATGAGAGTAAGGGCCTATCAAGGTTCGAAATTGCGTATTGCGTAGTCGTGGCGTTTTTTTAGGATTGCATATTGCGTAAGCCTCATTGCGCAATGAGGCGTATGTCTGAGGCGTAAAAATTTATGTGTGTGTATATATGCATAAATATAAACAAAATAAAAAGATGGAGAAAATTAATATTCACATAATTAATACTACGTATTCTCTATTCACATAAAATTAAAACAAAATAAGATCATACGTGGAGTAAGCTAAAATATAATCTTTGATGCATTAAAAACGTTCAAAGATATCATTAGTCAAGATTATTTAGAGCCATTAGAGGGAATATACTTCGTATATAATTCAGGTGATATCATACCTTTAGTAAATACTAAAAACTAAAGAAATAAAATGAAAGAAACCTTAGTTGCATTGAGATGCCTGAAAGGCTGAAACCACTTTAGTTGCCTAGAGAAGACTAGAGAGGAAGACAGAGGAAGTACTGAGTTCCTGAGAGCCTGAATCGCTGCCAGGCCTTTCGCGATAGATGAATAAGGCGGAAGAAAGTAAGTAACTAAATTGCTGTCGGCATAATGTGTACGCCTCGATAGGTTTATTAGTAAAAATTAAGTCCAGTGGGCCCAAAAAAACACTTTACAGCTGACCACATATATCGTATGCCTCATACCGCCTTAAGGCGTGGATAGAATTGTGTACGCTTCTGCGCAATAACTCGTGCGCCATAACAACTTCCGCTATAAGCAATGCAATCTTACGCCATACTCCAGGAAATTGGTGAGGCGCGCCTCAAGGCGGTATTGCATTGCGCAATTACAAACCATGGGGCCTATAGATAGAGTTCTAATGATATGAAAGAAAATAAATACTTTCTACGTCCCATAAAAAGAGTCTCGTTTGGTCAGGGTACAACATTTTAATTTTGGCAAAGTACCCCACCCCTTACAAAGTAATGGAACCATACTTAGTTTTTCAATTCATTTTCTGGTTCTACAAATGTATTTTAGAAATAATTTAAATCTATATATAGAAATATAACCATAATTATAGGATTTATAGTTAGGGCTTTTTCCTTGAATATTACTCAATTAAAGCCAATTTCCACAAATGTGACCATTTTTACAAAAGGGCAAAAGTGTGACTAAGAAGGTCATATATTTGGAAAAACATAATGTTACTGTCAAATTGTTATGTCACTGCAAGATTCTTGTGTCACTGTCATATGTCATTGTCAGATAATTTATGTCACTTTTGAATGTCACTATCGATTTTAATGCCACTATCGGTTTTCATGTCACTTTCAGCTGTTACTTCCTCTGTAAAACATGTCACTATGCCGCCGGAAAATTTTCGGGCAACTTTTTCCGATCAAAATGTAATAGAACCTCCACAATTTTCACTCCATGAACTGTCGCCACGCCAACACCGCTGCCATCGCCCCGACCGCCTAGGGCCCCCTACCCCAGCGTCAGCCCCCCCCCCCAGCTTCCCAGTTCCATCCACAGGTGGAGACAAAAAGCGGAGCGGCCGTCTCTGGTGGCCGGCGGAGGCGAGGCGGAGGTGCCTGTCGATCGCGATGGAGAAAAGGTCCACTGCTATGGAGAGATCCACGGTCTTTTCCAAGTTGGAGGGTTTGTTAGGTTTAAAATGTGATAACTTTTTTGTCTAATTTTAAAATGGTAGTATTTTTATCCATCTAAAGTGGGCGAGTAATATTTATGTCATTCCTTCTTTATAATTATTGTGACAACAACACAAAAAAAAACGACAATGCCATTGAGAACAGCAACAACAACAACAACAATAGGAAACAATAACTTTCTCTCCAAGATCTAGCCACATCGTTACTAGCCTGCCCAGCTCATGGGCACCTTTAGTAGTTTGGTGTTGCCTGTATTTATGGCTCCAATAGGAGTCTACAAATATTGGATTATAGTAGTATATCATATAGATCTTGTTTGTAACTTTGTAATAGTTGACAAAGATGATTCTTTTTTTTGGGGGTGACTTTTGAAAGAAGACTCTTAATCTCTTATATGGACTGAGGGAGTATATAGATAAGTTTCCACCAAAACACTTACTCCGTATTAAATTAATGGAACCAGATTAGAGAACTATATAGAGATTTAAAACAATACCTTGCGGAAAAACACCACCAACTTGTTTGCAAATGGAAACACTTCAGTAATGTGGGCTATAAGAGCAGAAATTGTATTCAAAACTTGAACCTGAAATTTCAACCAGAAATAGAAATAGAGTAGATACACAGAAGCAACGTGTGGAAAATTAAGCCCAATTACCAATACAGACAAGTATCACCCCCTCCCTATAAATTGTCAAAGAGTAAAAGAGTAACAATATAATGGGGGGAATGATACAATGATGCCCCTAGTAGTTTCCACAACAATCTAATTGCACCCGAACATCATAAAACACAAAAATAGGAAAGAAAAAATCAAAAGTGCAATAGTTCAGAGAAAAAATGGCATACCTTGGAGTCAAATTCTTGAACTTCCTCTACCAATTTGAAGCATAGATCCCAACAAATGGGAAGAAGATTTGAAAACTCAGACTCATTGAAGTTTGCATCTTCAATATGAAAATACAACGAACGACATGCTGCCAGCTAAAAAGCACAATTACAAAGGATGAACCAGATTTTTTTGTTAAGATTAAAAAGACATTTATCGAACACATAGCTAGTAAAAGAGATAATGAAGAATGTGACAAAAATGGGTTGGGTGGGGGTGGGGGCAGAATTACTCCTAAATACAAAAAACAGCATACTTTGACACATAAATCTCCATCCTGAAGCAATTTGATCAGAGCACAGTACACAGCTTGTCTGGTGTCATCTTTTATCTGTAAATAACAACAGGATTCATGTCATGTGATGTGACTAAGGGAGTGTTTGCAATTGCTTCAATTTTAAAAAAGTGATTTTTTAAAGTGATTTTGGGAAAAGTGATTAATAGTAAAAGTTGGTAGTGTCTGAGAAAAAAGTGATTCTGGAAAAGTAAAAGTTGGTAATGTTTGGTAAAATAAGTACTTTTTGTGTAATAGAAAAAGTGAAAAGCAGTTTAAAGCACCCTTCCCCCTTCCACCTGCTTTCAGCTTTTAGCTTTTAAGTGATTAATTTAAGCAGAAGCTGTCATTTGAAAACACTCTTTTTAGCTTTTTTTTAAGCCAAAAGCTGAAAAGCACTTTTTTTAAGCAACCGCAAACACTGCTTAAGTTATACTGTTGGCTTATCTTTGAATAACAAAAGCATGAAATTAAATGTATCAGCTAACATCCTAACAATGGTAGAAGAAAAGGCAAAACCATTCCAGTGTAGCATAGACCCAAATATCTAATAATTAGAAATCAAAATAATACTTCGGAAACCCATTGCCCAAGGATTAATGCAACTTTTCTGTGTATGATCCGCATATTTGGGTGGTCATTTGTGAGCTCTAAGGATAGTGCACCATTAAACCTGCATGAGCATTGTTGGTGAGTATAAATTTAAATGTTTATCACTTTATCCATAGTTCATTACAAGTAGTGTATTATACATATTGAACAAATTTACACATGCCTTTTCTCCAAAGCAATTTTGGAAAGTTATATACTACACAGCAAGAAAACAGTAACTTTTAATGTGTATTTAGTGAAATGTATACTAAATACAACAGTATGAGGTCGAGACCCAAAATAAGTGCTTGTTTGAAAAGCCAACAACCAGTATTAGTGATGTAAAAATAACCAAAGCTGTTAGCAGTTAGCATACCCCAGAAAGGGAAGGTTAGGACAAAAAGTTCCAATCCAAAAAGGCAATTGTCTAATTTAGACCAATTCTATTAGGCTGTCCTTCATGGAGTGAGGTTAGGAATGGAACAGATACATTAATCAGACAGCCCAAAGACTCCATTCATTGAGCAACTGAGTTAGCTGACCACCAGCGTAATACTTACACCAGCCATCCACTTATGGTTCTTTTTCTCATATATAACTTCCATGAACAGATTTTTTATTTCTTGAGACATTTTGCACGTTTTGAATTCAATTAAGTTTTATGAATGGAAAAATAGGTTTGTAAATTTTGTTGATAGTATGTTATTTTACGAATTGATTACACTATTTGTAGTAGTGCATTACTAAAGATGTCATTTCTTCACAAATGAATTATATGTCATTTCTTCACAAATGAATTATAATACTCTTAAAAAATCAACTGGACCAATGAGTCCTAGGCATGCAGCACATTACAATTACTACGCCATATTACCATGTGCTCTTAATGTGGAGCTCGAAAATGTTGCCATTTTCTTGTACTGCCTTTTTTATAAATTCAACAAACATTTTGTTTTAATTATTTATGGCCAGTAATGTCAAATACTCAAATCATTCATTCTTTTATCCAGCAATTGAGATAAGCTAAGTTCATCTAGAAATATTAACATATACATCTAAGTGACAAAATATAAAATCAAACAGCAAAACAAAATCAACAACAAATACAAACACCGTCTCAGCATTTAAACGATGTTGAATAATGATTGAATTATGTTTGCCTAAATAAATTATGCTTTTGTCATAGTAATGTGTGTATCTACTGGAATTAAAAGTTAATGGTTTAATTTAAGTTCTTGTAAAGCCAAGCATGCCCACTCAAAAAGCCTGAGACCCAAGGGGTTAGTGTTTAATGAATAAATTTTGACCTGAGAAAAATTAGCCCGATTGACATGCCTGCGCAGTTTGTTTAAAAGACAAACCCAAACAAAAGATATAAAATGTGTAGCAATAAACTTTAGAACTTTACTGTTTATAAGACAACTAATTGTTGAATAAGGAGGAATATCAACTGTGAAATTGTGTGTACCAGTCTTTAAAACTCAGATGATTTGAAAGCTCATAATAAACGTATGCAGCAGCTCCATAAGCTGCATCCTTAAGCAATAATGGTGGTGCTATTTCATGTACTGAAACGGGACAACCATGCATAGCTTCTTGGAGTATAGACAGCACAACAGGTCCTAGCAACTGATAATATCAACATCAATAAATATCAATCTTTTGATCATGAAATAGAGAAATTTCCTAGAAGACTCGTAAAATAAAAAAATAAGTATAAATGAATTTGTGTGACTTACCTGACTATTAGTTTCGAATAAAATGATATACAGTGCTTCAGCACATGGACGAAGTTTCTCTGACCATAGAACTGAATCCTGCTCATGATGAAATAACTCAGGATTTTGGTACCACTCTGCTAAATCACTTGCTGTGAGAACAAAGTACCTGTTTGAAGGAAAACTTCAACAATCAATGCATCGGATAAAAGCAAGAAACCTATGAACAAGCATGCTAAGCTTCAGAAACAAAATGGATCCATCATCCATCAACCAACATGAAATTTTGCAATTCCTTGATCTATTTTTTCTTAGTTTGTCTTCAGAGAAATTTGGACACTTGACCTGGCTTTTTATCTTATGGTGGATAGAGTGGTGGTGTATAAGCTTCACAAGAAACATAACTAAAATTTTAATATCAAGTTGAGAGGAACAAAAAAATTGGTTAGATACAAGAGCTATGACTATCATTAGCTATGGTAGAGAGTATGATGATTTTCTTGCCTAGCCTGGAAGTATGATATAATTGGCAACCATAATATGAACTGCTGAACATGCGATGATGTGTACAACTCTCCATTTATTAATCAGACAGCTTAACATTTTTTAGGCCAATGCTTTTTTAATACAAGCACCAAGTAATCAAACATAGTAAATTATAAATGTTTACAGATCTTCAATTTGTTTTCATTTTAAATGGCATATTTGAGGCCTCAGGAGGAGGGGGTAAGATGAAGATCCAAATCTAGTGCCAATGCATGGAAATGATTTCAGCCTATGACTGGGATAAACATGGAACCCAATTGATCGCCTATATAGTTGATAGTTGATATGCTTTATTGAAAAGGGAAAATGAAGAAAGTCAAGAAACTACATATAGATAGAAGACTCCATTTACACAACATTTTCCAAACGCACCTCCTGATGAGGACATTGCATAGAAGTATCACCCTGTCATGAGAAAAAAAAGATGCAAGGACCCCAGCAACAGAACAAGCCATATTTTTTTTCATCTGCTCAAATGTAAGTCTATTTTCATCGACCACACGTCCTGTTAAGGTTGTCTTGTACTCTTTGCATTCCAAAACAGTTTTTAACATTATCATACATTGAATCAGGAATTGCTCAAAAGATATCAGTTGGTCTGGGTCTACAATTTTGTTAACACAACAATCCACAACAAGTTGTAGAACGCATTTATCCCCAAATGAATATGGATGACGCTGCTGCACCGCAACTAAGATTTTCATTAACTTTGGACATGCCTGCTTTACGAAGTTCCAGAATCTGGGATGTTGCTCTTGGAGAGATGAATCTGCACAGTATGTATTTTGTTAACCCAAATACAATTTCAAGTTAGCAACAAAAGTTTTAAAAATCAACAACAAAAATTATGCACAAGAAAATAAGGTGTTCCACTGTTGACTGTTCCATAGTAAAATAGATATTGATACAGAAGTAGAAACTAAAATATTGTTTCAGATGAAGAATCCAGAGCGAGTTCATACAAAATGGAAGAAATGACTGAATGGCATTCAAAATCACTGGAGAAACCTCTTTGACATGCCGCACCTCCTTAAAAAATATACAGAAAGTGAATTACTAACATCATATATGAGAAGTGTATCTACCCTGAAGCATATAGCAATATAGTATTAGAACCAAAAAGGTTGAATGACAAACCCAGGTACCTGCAAGGTCTTCGCATCGCTCGGAAATCCAGAAATTATCAACTGACGAACTATTTTGGAACACAAAAACCATCTCTGACAAGTAAGGTAAAGGTCTTCATGATTATGTTCAGAAGCATTTGCACCAAAGTTTTGGGCAAGGGCTGAGAAACCATGTAGTATAGTCTGAACATCAGCCTGCCAAAGATGCCAGCAGTATTCAAAGAATTGTCTTGATATCTGCAAAAGGAAATTGAAATGATATCAATGGAATAGCAAAAGAGAGGCACATTCTCTGCCTCAATATGTGTGTCTATCTTAATGAAAACACTGAACAAAATAAATTCATCAAATGTGTAATTGATATGCAAAGGCACCAGATAATGCATTTAGTCATTCATTTTACAAGCGAAAGAAGAAAGGAAAGGGCTCTTAGAAAAGTCCACTAGAAAGAATTATGAGAACAACTTATTGCTTCAGCAAGCACGGGATCTAAAAGTGCTACTTCATTAATATTTTCTACTGGTTAGCTGTTGACTTTTTCCCCAACTAGTTGCAAATGCAATGCAACTTTGAAGTGAAGTTCACATATACTTATATTGGCACATATCTGTAAGGTATTCTAAACTAATACTACCTCTGTCCTGGCTTAAGCTTCTTGTTGAAAAATGGCGCGGTTTTACAGACAATCATTAACTAAGGTAATTCAAGTGTATTTTGAGAAATAGTTTGATGGGTAATATAACATAATGAGGTCATTGATGATAATTTTGTTGTTATAGGTGTATTATGTTTAATATTTGATGATTAATTGGTCAATTCAGAGTGTTAATTATTTCCTAAAATAGAAATGAGAAGCTTTAGCTGGGACATCCAAAAGAGGCAAGTGAGAAGCTTAAGCTGGGACGGAGGGTAACTTTTATTCAGAAAGAGACTAAGAGCTTCATAAATACAGGATGAGCTAATCTACAAACACAAAGTTAGATAAACACTACAGACTGAAAAAGTGAAACAACATGACTAAAAGAGTGGGGCAACAAGTGTGCTTATACTATAAAAATCCAACACAAATACTCTTGATTTTGGTCTCTGACATGACAATGTGAAGGGAAACAAATAGAAGGAAGAAATTCACAGTATGCATGTAGATAAAAATAAACGCACAGGTCAACTATAAACCCATACCTCTGCAAAGTTCCTTTGGTCTGAGACAAGACGCTTTGTAGACAACTCCTTCAGAGTGCGGAAAAGAATCATGAAAATTCTGTGTGTAGCTAGAGTATCAGCTGATTGAAGCTGCTGTGCCAAACTGGAAAAAAGATCTGGCCTGTACAGGAATTTTCTTATTGGTATTAGATGCACAGCCGCACAGGAAAGTTAATTAAAATATTGATAGCTCGAGACATCTAGAATATCATTATAGGCTCATACTTAAGACAAAAGTATGTAGTATGCATACAACGTTGACATGTATTAGCTCCTTTCGGTAAAATATCTCGATGATAGTCTCTTGATGATGACTTATTAGACTCAAAAAGGATAAACTCAAAATGGATATGCCATGAAAAAAATGGAGGGCAAAGGAGAAGATTCTTGGTAGAGTGGATGTAGCAGCTATTGAAGATAAAATGAGGGAGAACGGGTTATGTTGGTCATGGAACATCAACGTAAAGACAGTAGAGGGAAGTGTTCGGTAAAGACAGTGGAGTCTTGAAGTGTTGCAGACTTGAACAGAAACCGTGTAAGTCAAAATGGGATGGATAGGTGTAAAGAGACACACCAGAGTGTTGAGACTTGAGACTTAATAAGCAAATGGTACATACACAAAAGAGTGGAAAATAAAGATGGTGATGGATGATCTTGAGATATTTTCTATTGATTCGTGTGGCTGAACCCAATGATTCAGGGTTGGCTTGTTGTTGTGTCCATAAACTGCATTGTTTAACATGGAAATCTCTTAAAACGTAGACACTAGGTAGGGACACTTTTCATCTTAAGACGCTGTCAAAAGACTTTGTCTATTAAGTAAAAGGCGTACCATTCTCTCGGATAGTCAAAGCGGGCAATCTTTGAAAAGATCACAGACAAAGTAAGGGCAACCTGTATTACATCAAATACATTACACTTGAGATTAGAAGGTTCTCACAGTAGAAAGCATAAGGACACTACGCAACCCACTGCAAACAGCAAACCACTAAATTATTGATATTGTTCCTAAATATGAGTGTAAGGCACTCAAATAATATCTACTCATGGGGCCAGTTTAAATATATACCAAACCAGCATCACCTGGTAATTCTCTTCTCTCAAGTGTGCTAAAAGTTTTTGCCTTAAATAAGACTTCTCTTCACTGCTTATTCCCCTGCAAATATTTTCCAAATACAAGTTCTTAGAAAATAGAACCTGAATACCACACCATAGCATTTATGAGAAAATGGAACAAGGTAAATGTGACAAGAATGTCATGTTTTGCAATGTTAACCAAAGTAAAATGATATTAAAGTGAAACAATGTATTCCATCCATTACTATACATTGTTTAACCAACCGCTGCAGATGGAGGTAAACAATGTATAGTATTGCATATAACTTCTGAAAGCTTCGTGTGAACCATAGCACTGAGCACTAACTAATTGACAAAGTATTAAAAATGACTTCAGAATTTGAGATGTTGAGCAAGATCCATCAAGGAATAATTTTCAGACAGGGATGAGAGAAAATCTCCCACCTGGTCTCTCTTTTTCTTAGTATGCAGATACTTGAATAAAAGATTGATGTTTATGACCTATATAACTGCTATTCATTGTCACAAAAGATCGTCTGGAAATTGTGCACAAAGCGCACTGGAACAATATCCATTACCAGGAATGTGCAAACAAATAGGCAGTGATGTTTCTTACATTGAGTCACCCCGCTTGTTCCTCCAGTACTTGCTGATGCTGTTCTTGAAGTAGACAGATGCCATTAATCGAACATCCCCTTGAGCTGTCAAATCCTTCGCTGTGATGACTTCCTAAACCAACAAACAACACTCATCAGTCATCATGCTTCAGTTGCCCCTTGCAGATTATATAAGTGTATCATACATTATACGAAGTCGAAGAAAAATATAAAGCTAACGTCTAATATACCATGAGGCATGAGCAAAAACTGGGGCGACTCTCACACTGAGCGAGAGCAGCCTCAGCGGGCTTCCGTACACTCTGGTCGGCGCACAGTGAGTCGGTTAGGAGCGAGTACATCGCCGGCAAGTCGGCTGTCGATAGCGCCATAGTCACTAGCCGATATGGAAACAATCTGTCAATCGGCCGGTCTACCAATAGGCGCTGTTTGCTGCGAGGATCGGATAGCTATGCTGAGTCGAATCGGTGAATACAGAAATGGGGAGCTGTGAGGGGTTTAAGGAGGTTGCGGGCGAAAATGGCGGTGTTAGGGTGGCTTTTGAAGATTATTAAGGAAATTGGAGAGAGGTGGTACGGTGGCCTAGTTTATTCGCTGTTGGCTCCGGCGAAGTTGCGACCAGGGGCCGAAAACGATAGACGGGTACAATCCCTCTGGCTTGGTGGCTTGGCTTTTAAGTTTTAACTGAGCCGTTTATGCTCAAAGCAGTTCACCCGTCCCATGCTTCGCACGAACTGGAATTATTTAATGAAATATTAGTTGTTAATTAATTTTTTTAATATTATACTACCTTCGTGGCTTCGTCCCTTAAAACTTTGTCAAATTTGATCAGCATGAATATTAATAAAATAAAAATTGTGTGGTTGAGTTTTATGCAGAGGAGAGAGAATCATCTGAAACTACATATTCTTACTTAAAAGGGAAAGTGTCAAAGTTAATGGGACATCCAAAAAAGGAAAGTTGACAAAGTTTTAAGGGACGGAGGAAGTATATTATACTCCGTATTAAAATATTTACTAAAATATACTCCGTGTATTAATATAATATTTTAGACAAGTAGTAGTAAGTATAATGAATAGTGTAGAAACAATAGTAGACATAGTGGAAAAATATGAAAGAGGTGACAAAAATTTATAAAAACTAAGAGTAATTGTGAGTGCTTTTAAAAGAAAAACATACAAAAAAGAGAAAGTTTAATAAAAAAAATAAAATACAACTCAAAAAAAGAGAAAGTTTAATAAAAAATAAAATACAACTCGAAAAAAGAGAAGTGTAACAAACATTTCTATACGGAGGGAGTATAATGAGAGTAGTGAGGAGTGTCTCATTCTATTTTTGAAAAAATGAGCACCTATTTGAAAACAGATTATTCAATTTCCTTTTTAGTGTACATTATTAAGTTTTTTAAAAATGAAAAACTAGAAAAGAATGTTTTGATTTTTTTTAAAGCACTCACTCTCAAACTTGGGTGTGGATATTGAGATAAAGAAGTAACATCAACTCAAGATTTTTCTAGGGTTGTTTTTTCTGTCTAAGGGTAACTTCACCCGATGATAGGTTCTTTTCAGACTTGGGAAAGATGATTTTGTGGATATTTGAGCACTGCCAATTAGAAATGCACCGGTTTGGGTAACTTAGCAATAATGATTTTGTTGTCTATACAAAAGAAGCATCCATCAATACTCTTTTCGACGGTAAGAAGGCGTGAAAATCTAGATTTGTGAAGGTCCTAGGAGTTTTATAATTTCGAAACTATTTTTTGTGAAAGTGGACAGTGGGTAGCTTAGCCTTGGGGTGGAACTTGGAAGGGCGACGTCTCATTAGTAGTTCATGATTCAGGCATATATTACGTGTTGTACAAGGTCTTTTTGGATGCTAGAAGTCTTGAAAGTATAAAACGAATAAAAGCTTAAGCAATGTTGAGAAGGTTGTCAAGGATCTATACAATGTGTTACATGGTTGCAAGGGATCTTAATGACACGGTTTATGCATGTGGAAAGATATGATGATTCCCTCACTCATAGATGAAGGGTGTGCGGCTTCCGAGAGGCAGATTGGGGGATGAAACATGTAACCTCGGGTGTATCTATGGTGGGGGCATCTGCCCCCCACCCACCCACTCAAACTCTATATATACTTGTATACTTGTGTGTTATATTTATGTCTATTATCTATAATTATCAATAGTGTAATTGAAGCTCAATTAAGCAAAGTGATTTGGTGCGTCACTTTGTGTTTGCTAGAGGTGTTGGGTTCGATTCCCTTGCCTATGTTTTATATCTTTGGTTTCCTTTTTGAACCTCTAAAACATTTTTTGTTTTATTTTCTTTTAGTACGTTTAGTTATCGTTTTAGTATGTCTGTAGCATTAATATAACTTTACGTGTTAATTGTTGCTTTGTTTGAAAATTTTAAACTATTTCAAAACAATCAAAAATTTATCTTGCCATATCACTGATGGATACTTACAAGTTATACTTACATATTTACATATAATATAATCAGTTTTTTACAACTTATTGAGTTGCTACTTCAATTAATTTTTATTACATACTTTATTTGTACCGAATTTTATTCATTAACTATTATTGTACTTGTTTGATGCATGGGACAATAATATAGTCATATTTAACGTTTTTGTTATTTCAATGAAAGAAAAAACAATTGACATTGTTAAACAATAATAATACTACATACGAAGTATATAACTGTCACCACAAAGATTAAAGGATTGTTTTTGTTTGTATGTACATACCTCACTGGTTTTATAAGATTCAAGACTTTATTTCATGTTTCATAATTATACAACTTTGCAAAATTCGATACTTTGATTATGTGCATGCAAAGACTATCAATCAAGTGATAATTTTGCCCATGTAATTTGAAAACTTGCAAAGACATACCCACAATGTGGCTAATATTAATTTTTTTTCTCTAACCAATGTGAGAGCATATTAATTGTTACGATCCAACACCGGTCAAATATGGGCTTGACTGGTGGCTTATAAGCAAGGTGTTCCCTCCTCATAATCGGCTGGTCTTTTGGGAGTGAATTCTACATCTGGGCTTATGGCACTGGTATGGGCCTAGTATGGGCTAGGTCCGTAACAATTGGTATCAGAGTCGTCCCCATCTTCCCAGTCCCGACACTTGGAGTGGTGGCCTATGGAGTGGTGGCTTGGGCCCTGAGGGGTGCCAATCGTGACCAATATAGCCGTGACCAACGAGGACGTTGGTTCTTCGAAGCGTGGGGTATTGTTACGATCCCACACCGGTCAAGTATGGGCTTGACTGGTGGCTTATAAGCAAAGTATTCCCTCCTCCTAATCGGCTAGTCTTTTGGGAGTGAGTTCTACAACCGGACTTATGACACTGGTATGGGCCTAGTATGGGGTAGGTCCGTAACAATTATTATACGATCATATACTTTGTAATAACAAAATACTCTTTTTGCTATCACCATATAACAAATCAAAGAGAATTTAAGCTTGAGGATGACTTTTTATCGGTGAGAGTTAAATTTTACCTTACATGTATCATACAAAAATTTTGAGTTTTTTAATTTTTAGCCTGTCTCAATCTCTCATCATACCAGAAAGTCGCCCCCGCAAAACTAACACTTATGTGTGGGGTTTTTAATATCTCAATATTAAATATATCTATATAAGGGGTAACTTTGAAACTTATTGATGGGGTATATTCCCATATTTATCAGAAGTATCAACATTCGCGAACAAAGAAGCCTCCATAAATACTAAGTCATTATTTAATGTTACATAGCAGGACTAAATGAATACATACCACTTTGCTACTGCCTGCCCAGACCGATTTAGTCATTCAGGATCAATATTGTTGACACTCATCATACCGATTTTGATTTGTTTGTTTCTTTTTTTTTTTGTTAATTTTGTAGTGTCAATCGAGAAGGTACAAAGGAAACTCGATTCTTCACATAATGGATCATGCAGTTAAGCTATTTAATAATTTAAAAGGTAAGAAGATATTTTGTCAACTTCAGTGTAAACAATTCTGTTACTAACACTTCTGATAGCGTATAAATTGTGTAAATTGCCCTAATGTAAATATGGTAGTATGTATTCTATTTTTGGTAGGATATATTTTCTCATTATTGTAGCAATGTAATTATTCTTTATAAATAAAGGATTTCTCAACACCCTAATCAAGGGGTGATTACTATCACATGGTATCAGAGCAATTCCCCTAATCAAATTACCGATCCTCTTTCTCGCAGTCATGGCCGAAACGGACTGTACCCTTCCCTTCTCCACTCTTGTTCATATGATTACCATCAAGCTCAACTCCTCCAACTATCTTCTTTGGCGCACCCAGGTCCAAACCCTTCTGGAATCCCAGGGCTTGTTCGGCTACATTGATGGATCAATTCCTTCTCCTTTGATTTCTAACAAAGATGACCCCTCTGCTGCAAAACTTCTTGCGGCATGGCAGATTCAGGACAAGTGCTTGGTCTCTCTGTTATTATCCTCCCTTACTGAAGAATCCATGATTGAAACTCTGGGTTGTACCTCCTCTGCTCAGGTTTGGAAGGCTCTTGCTTCTGCTTTTAGCCTTTCTTCTAAATCCCGAGAAATACAATTACAGGATGAATTGCAGCAACTTCGTCGGGGATCTCGTTCTGTTACCGACTATGGCAAAACTTTTCACACCTATTGTGAACAACTTGCTGCAATTGGGTCTCCCGTCTCTTATACTGATAAGATTCATTGGTTTTGTCGTGGTTTGGGATCCTCCTTTCCGGCTTCTCGCTTAATCAGCTTAAGCTTGACCCCTTACTTGCTCTGCGTGACGTTATTTTTGAAGCGGAAAGTCACGCACTTTTTCAAAAATCCTTAGAAGAGCCTTCTGGTGCATCCACTGTTGCATTTGCTGCACAGTCGCAGCCTGCTTTTTCTCGTGGGAATCGCTCTCAGCGTCCATCCAAGCAGCAACACTGCTCCCCGGCTCCCAATCAGCGCTTCTCTGCAAATCCTCGTCGCTCTCGACGACCATATGTGCTTCGCTGTCAAATTTGTAAGGTTGATGGCCACTTTGCTACTGCCTGCCCAGACCGATTTAGTCGTTCTTTTGACCAGTCTAATGCTAATTTGGCTGAAGCTTTCAACGTCGTTTCTCTCAACTCAGCCGATTCTTCTGATTGGTACATTGATTCGGGCGCCTCATCTCATATGACCGCCGATAAATCTGCCCTTGATCATGCCGACCCTTATACTGGTAATGATCATGTGTCCGTCGGTAACGACGCAACTCTATCTATTTCTCATATTGGCCCATCCTCTATTTCTAATGATCTTGTGTTGCGTGATGTTCTTGTTGTTCCTGCCATTACCAAAAATTTGTTGTCCATTAGTAAGCTCACCAATGACTTACCTGTAACTGTGCTATTGCACAAGCTCACACGAGAGATACTGGGAAGAGGACGGCGTAATGGCGGACTGTATGTTCTGGACAAAGACCATCAAGCCTTTCTGGGAGATTTACGGGCACATAAACTACGTGCTTCTTTTGAATTATGGCATTCTCGCCTTGGTCATGTTTCCTTTGATATTATTAAATTATTAAATAAATTGGGTTATTTACGGGTTACTTCTGTTTTACCCAAACCCATTAGTTGTTGCTCTTGTCAAATGGTCAAAAGTAGCCGCTTACCTTATTCACTTAATGAAAAACGTTCATCACA